TTCTCAGTTGGTAACTTTTAAGAAACATTTCTTTCTCTTTTTTTTTGCTGTCAATATTTTGACCTCCTGATTTGGAAGTGAAAAGTTTGAAATGTTAGATTATGCATTTGTTTAGTTGGTGTGAAAAGCAAAAGGATTTAACTTGGAGGTGCTGATGCTGACTTTTTGTGCATTTGTACAGCAAATTGAGGACAAGCTTGAACTCTGAATCCCCTCCATAATATAATTCATTCTTAAAATGGGTTTTGCCACTTATTGCTGGGTCAAATGTTCAAAGTCCTGATCACCAAAACCTGATGTGTTTGCATTAGTCAGTTATCTGAAACATGCTGATGGGACGCATAGGTTGAATATTTGATCTGCAGCTCTTGCCTCACTGTGCTTATGCAATCTGTTTATTTATCCTCACTGGGCAGACATTATATCTCTATCATCTGACCAAGTGACCTATGAAGGTTGTGTGTGTGTGTGGTTTTTTTTTTTTTTTCCCAGGGCACGTTTGACAGCTCTATTAAAGTGTTGGTGGTAGCCCAGAACTCAACAGCAAAAAAAAAAAGACTGAATTTAAAGGGACAATGTGCAAATGGATCATCTGAATAGAAAGGGACACAGCTTAAGCAATTTACTCTGTAACAATTAACATGCATGAAAAGGAGGGTCTCATCTGCAAAAGAGTTTGTATTTTATTGCAGCCATTACTTCTGGTTGCATGTAGCACACATTAATGTAAACCCTCAGGAGATTTAAATGTAGTGATTTAGTTTATTGCATGGCAAAGCATAAGAACACAAAAGTCAATCTTCATTGACTTTTGTGTCAATGAAAAGTCATTTTCCTTAAATGTCGATTTAAGGACATTAAATCGACATTTAATGTCCTTAAATGTCGATTTAAGGACATTGTGATGTCCTTAAATCGACATCACAATGTCGATTTAAGGATTTTTAATCTATTTTCTTTTATTCAACTGAATAAATATCTATGCGTCTTTAAACTGCCGTGAATATCATGTGTTCTCTGATGGAAAAAGCACAGTAAATGTGAATGTTTTAGCAATAGATTATAAGTGCTCTCCTGTCTTTTAAAAAGGATTGAATCATCTATATTGATACAACTTAAATGTACATTACCTCAGTCTTATGCTGTTGTGACTGTGGCAGTTCTCACCAATGCAGTTTGTGTGTTCTAGATAATAAGACCCATTAAATATAGCCTTGAGGTATGTCTTCTGTCCTTAACTTGCTAGGGATTTTCCTAAGAATATGCTCTGTAATTCTGTTATTTAACTTTATATAGCTGGAACTTTTATAGCTGATTCAGCTTCACATGTACCCTCCAATTATGTGCAGGGATGTACCTTGTCCTTGCTTATTGGTGTGTTAATATTGTTCTATGAGTATTGCAACTGTGCACAGACTCCAGTTTGTGAAGGGGATGAATTGCATGACTATTTTCTTTCTTGTTCATCCAAACACACATGCACACACAACCTTGCCCCTACTTTGATCTGCAGTTGGACATTCCTGTGCCCTGGTGAGAAGGTGAAGTAGACAGATAGAGGGAGCGCTGTTCATGAATCATGTTTATTGTCTTTCCAAGATAGGAAGGTACAGAGCCAAGGAGATCTGAGTCTGCAGGGACCTCAGAGTCTTGATTGGGGTGCTGATAAAACTTTAAGGATGGGAGGCCCTATATGGAGCCTCCAGAAAAGGAGAACTGATATTGTCTTGGCAACATACCTGAAGAAAACCTGTCACACTTCTTCTACTTTGTGTGTGTAGTTTTTTTTTGTCATTTTTTCCCTCACTATTTCAAGAAGAGATAAATTAATGAGGTTGTTGTGACCCATTTCTAGTTTTTGTCACGTTTAACCTGCTGATTTGTTATAAGAACAGCTTTCAAAATAAGTTTTTACTGTAAAACAGTTGTACTATTACTTAAAAGCAAAGATAAATTATGTTTATGGAGTTCACATTTTAAATTGTGTTTTACATCTTAGCAAAATTAGTCTGGTTAGCATTGCTAATGGAGCGATCTGAGTTTGTTTTGAGTTTGTTTGTTTTTAAAGATCCTGCCAGCATTTCCACATGTTTCATATAACTGGAAATTATCCTTTTGAAAGATTAAAAGGATAAAACACACTTGTACTTGGTGTACTCCACTGAACCACCTTGTTTTCAGCTTAATGCGTTTCTCTCTCTGAGCCTGAATGAACTGATAACATGTCTTAAAATGCTTCTTTCTTGAGACCTTTCTGCATTTATGTGCTTCTTCTGGCTACATTTTTAGACACATACAAATGGCTAACTTTGAGTCTTCCTCCCTCACTTCGTACTTTTTAACAGAAAATGTTGTTGGTGGTGTCTTTTGGTAATATCTAGCTATGGAACATCCACAGACTGGAAAAAGGTTTTCTTCTTTTTGTTGTTGTTGTTGTAGCTGACTTCTGGTCATCGGTCAGGATAACTTGGAGTGTATTGCATGGACAACACCTGATGGTAAATCATAGATTTGTAAGCTGAATAAATTTTTCTTGTGAATTTCATTTGTCTTTAAATTCCCCTGGGCATCATGTTTGCTGTGTTGGAAAAAGTATTGTAAATATACAAGTGAATGTGGAGTGAAAGTTTTGGCTATAAATTACTGTATAAGTAAACATTTTTCAAAATTATCTTATCTGATAAGATTTCTTCTTCAGCTTATCAAGCTGAAAGTGTCCTATTCTGTTCACCATCCAATTTTTAGTGCATTTTAAACCTATGCTGATAAGTTCTCCTTTTATTCTTGTTTTCTATCCTTTTTTTTTGCCATAGTTTTGCTTGCATCAGTCACAGCAACCCAAACGATATCACCAAAGTTATAATCTAGCTGTAACATAAATACTTTTTTGTTTTGCAGGTTTTATTGTTTATCCCTTGTAACTACTTTAAAAGACGGATTACAAAACTAGACAACCTGCATAGTGTTAACCTGCTTAGACATTTAGTACCTCCTGTTTTTTTTCTTTTCACCTATCTGGTTGTTCTGCTTATTGTCTCTGACATATGGATGTCAGTTTAAGGTGCTACAACTCCCTCAGTATCATAGAGGTAAACTGTCTCCATTGGAAAAGTCGGAAGCCATCCGAAACCTGACAAAATAAATCTCTTTCCGTTTCCTCACCTCGTCTCCCATCCTTCTCTGGCCTCTCCATCCGTTACATTCTTGTTTTTATATCCGTTTCACCCAGCCGGCGACCGCAAACACACACTTTAAACACTCCAAACAAAGGAGGTGGTCACTGTGAGCCCTGATGAGTTTGACCTTTAAACCTTTTTTCCAGTTCATCCTGATCTACAACCTCTAGGCAAAGTGTTTTCCTACATTTTTGGTATCCTGGTAAATTTCTCTAGAAAGCCTCAGAAAACATAACCTCCCATCATGTGGGGACGCCATGTTGAGAAAGAATTGTTCGCCAGCGTCGCACTGATTGCTACTCCTGCAGCTGATACTTTGTAAAACTTCTTTGGCCAACAGTTGTGCAACATTACCCAAGGTTGGAGCGAGGCATGTACAAAAAGAGCTTTATTAAAGGGTTAAAGCAATTCACTAAGAGCTGTAGGAAAAAATTATTTTTTTTCTTCTAAAGTCACTAATTTTACCATAAATGTCATGTTAACTCGTGAAATCTGAAAACAAAAAAACCAAACCATCTTGAATATTTCCAAACATCCAGGGAAAAGTTGTATTCCTCTCCAATGTTTGCAGCAACTTGTGGTATCTGCCAGAATTAGATTAGTTTAATATTTTGAAGGGCTATTTTTTTTTTTACAATCTATTTTATTTATGTTTTTTTTTTATGCATTATTTCTGGTTTTTGTGTTTTATGTTGGATATTTAAAATATCTTCCAGTTCCTGAGTGGGGTATTCTTTACAAAGTTAAAGTTTATTGGCCTTTGAGAGGGCAAGCTTGCATTATTATGCCATTATCAATAAATTGCTTGAAAATGGTCTCAAAACAACAATATCGTTCATTTTCATAATTTCTGGAACAAACTACTGTTCAGCAAAATTTGTTATTGTCAGGCATACTTGAACTTGACTAAACGGCAAAATTAATAAATTTTTTCCCCCCTTTGGTCACATCTTATAAAAGAGCTGCACTTGAGAGGGACTTTCTCTTTGCCTGCAGTGCAAGATGGCTGCCACAGAGAGGGGGCACCTTCTCATGTTATTTGGCCGGAGTGACTTATTCCATCCTAGTAAACTGTTGCACAATCGAGTGTTTGAACTTAAGACTATCAAGAACCACTGTAAAATATTTAAAGATGATTATTTTTATGTATTGTATACATCTCTACCTGGGGTGTTCGAGTAATGACAAGGGCGCTTTAAATGACAGTGCCGATTTTATTTTTCATACTCTAGGCGTACTACATGAGAAAGAAAATAAACTTGGCATCTTTGTCACTTCATCGACTTTTCTGTGGTGCATCCAAGCTGCTCCTATCCAGTACACGAGCCAGCCATCGCTCGGTGACATCAAAGCAGCTGACCCGGAGCCCGAACAACAATGAGGCCTTATTGGAGAGCCACGTCTCAGAATAAAGGCGGAGCAGTGAAGGAGGGAGTCGAGTGGGAAGAGAATGTAAAATATGTGTACAGTCTGACTGTTGGAACAGTGTAAATGGACAGGGGTGTGTGCACACGAACAAGTAGATTTGATGTGTCAGGCTTACGTCTGAGCTTTGACATTTTAGGCGACATAGTCAAAATGTTCCTTTTCTAGCTTCATTTGGTTCCTGTAATTTTCTGACGTTTGTGCCACATTGATCTGAATGCTTTTAAGCCATAATTGCCTCCTGTTACAATTATCACTCATCAGTGTGTTGGTGGAAGAGGGTCAGGTTGACCTGAAGTGAAGTTGGCCCTAAAAATAAATGTGTAGAGTTAAAAAAAACAAAAAAACCTGCCTCTCACAAGACTGAGGAAACTAACTGTCCTATAACTTTCCCTACAGATGAGCATGACGCTGTACAGAAGAAAACATTCACCAAATGGATAAATGCACAGTTCTCTAAGGTACGTGAAGCACTGGATGCAATAAAGATTTTTCTTGCTGCTCTTAAAACACAATAGATAACGCACCTGTTTTCTCCAAACAGAGAAAAACTCTATGTGCCTCAGTGCTGTGATATGCTCTGGCTATTTTAGTTTTTAAATCTGAACATTTGTCCTCTGTAATCTCTGCAGTGGAGCTCTGCTGTTCACAGACGAGTAGACTAAATAGTTAAATGTTTACAACAACTTTGTTACAGGTGATGAGGAATAAATACACGATTTTTGCCTAGTGGATGTCTCAGCTCACTAGTGTGCCTAGCAACCATTTTCTTTCTTTCTTTATATATATATATATATATATATATATATATATATATATTTGCTGTCTAGCTTTGATTTTTAGCCGAGTTATAAGTAGTATGGATCCACTCTGACTTGCTAGATTCTCATCACTGACACTTGAAGTGCTGGGTCAAATTGCTCTATTTGTTCCAGTAAACAAGCCATTTGACTCAATCATAGTGTTTCAGTTAGTTTTGCTTGATACTTGGGTATTTTTGCTAAATTATGCAAATAAATAAGCATAGAAATGATTACATCTCATGTAAGATCTAATTATCAGTATTTGCTGTAGGTTTAAACCCTTGTCTGTTATGAAACAGGATACATACGAGTCTTGACAAACTAGGAGTAATTTCCTGCTGGAAGATATTTTTTCTGCCCTGAGATCACGTATAGATCATAGTTTTTGCTAGCCTCTTTTTTTGCTTTCATTTTAATTCATATTCAGCCCAAAACTAATGAACTTGTTCCTTTTTCTTTGCTTTCTCAGACAGGAAAGACCCCCATCAAAGATTTGTTTTCAGACCTGAGAGATGGAAAAAAGCTGCTGGACCTGTTGGAGGGTCTCACAGAAACAGTCCTGGTCGGTTTGTCCACCTATATTTACATTTTCAAATATGTTAAACAGTGAAATATTTCCTAACATCTGCTGATTTGGTTCAGTTTGTAGTTTTTGGGTTAATTTTTCTGTTTGTCAAACACCAAGATTTGATTTTTTTTTTTTGTATTAAAAGAATCTTTGTTGTTTTAGGTCAGTAGTTTTCATCCCATCCATTGTATAGGTGTTAGCCTGCCTCCACATACTTGATTTATATGAGCGATTTCCAGGCTTCTGCAGTACTCAATGAGGAAGTAATGCATTCATTTGATTCAGGTCTGCAGGAAACGTATGAAGAACAGTGGGTCCTTCATATACTGTTATGCTTTATGCAGTGTTTTTGTGGCAACATTGTTAATTTAAGAATTATATCAATTTTGTTCACAGCATTCACGATTTTTCCAGAAATAGTGTCTCCTTGCCCAGAGAAAGCAGTGTTTGGGCGTTAATGTTATGCAACTTAAATATTTATTTCTTGATTATGTTTTAATATATTGTCACATTGTCTTATTAAAATGTATATAAAATAGATATTGGTGATTTAAAGAACAGATAGTGCACTTATTATCCTTGTGAAACTAAAAAAATATGGTTATTTTTATCCCATCCCTCCTCCATCCATCTTTGATTCCTTCAGCAGAGTATCATGTTTCTTGCACCTGCAGTCATGTTTAGTGCCAGCTGTCTCTTTGCCATATGTGATGGCACACCGATATCCACTCTGTCTCTCTGATACTGGAATCCTAATGCTATAATTGGGTGCTAATGAGTGGTAGAGGAATGCAAAGACTTAAAAGGGATTTGCAGTTGGCTGCCGTTCATCCAGCCATTCTTTCCATAAGTTGGCCCGTGGACAATGCTGATAGGTTAATGGGTGTGATGAATGTGCGGTGTAACACGCTACGCTGAGTGATGACATGGTTTTCCTCCATGTAGCATTTCACTTCCTGTTATTTATCCTGTTCCTGAAAGGACTTGTTTATTTAAGGTGGATGAGTGTTGGTGAATTTTTCCCTCTCCTGAAACCAGCATAAAAAGTTTAATGAGCTTCAAAAATAAACAAGAGTAGGAAATGTTTGTTGTCCCCATTCGTTTGGTTCCTGTTCCTTCATTATGGGTGGCGAGCTGTGAATAAGCTTTTGGCTCATTTCGGCTGCATTTCCTCTTTCTCAGACCAAAGAGCGAGGTTCCACCAGGGTGCACTCCCTCAACAATGTCAACAAAGTGCTGCAAGTTCTGCATCAAAACAATGTGAGTTCTTGGTTTTTCTGTTCTTGACACTGTTTATCACCAAAAAACTGAAACATATGTTTTTTTTAATCATGTGAAAAAAATGCAAAAAAAAATTTGGCAAAGTTTCTTAGAAGGAAATTATATTTAGAAAGAGAAAATTGTGATCTTTGTTTGTTTTATTTTTTAGAAAATATTGGATCTTTAATCAATCCGGATATATTTTTACATGTATTTTAAAAAATTGTATCCAATAACTCCTTCTCTTACAATGGTTTAAATTGCTTTGAGCTTCTTTGCTGGGTCACGTTTTCTTAGCCAGTAAAGCCTCTGCACCCCATCAATCATTCCTTTAATGTCTCTCCTTGTTTTCATATATAGTTCTCTGCATAATATCTTGACCCAAGCAGTAGGAGCCAAGTAGAAGGGCAATCTCATAGGAAGCAGTTGAGCCTGGAGGTTTAGCATCCTGCTGGCTTTTCTCCTGCAACTGCCAAAGAAACTGAGGAAATGCTGTTGTGTAACAATATCCAACATCTAAAGTGGATTCCTGTTGTTTTTTATGTTTTAAATCATTAACTATGCCAGACTTTATTTGCAATCCTGGTGAAACCTATAAAAGGGACAGTTGTTCATACCTCTAACATTCATTTTAAAACAAATGCAATTAAAGCATTTCTTAAATTTACACCTAACAGTTGACTAGGATTTTTGTATTTATTTATTTATTTTTTTTTTGAACTAGATACTATTATTAAATTTTAAACCTTAACATAGGACATCAAGAACAACAAAACAAACAAGAAAAAAAAAAACACACACACATCTGATGTAGAGTTTTGAACTTTTGGGGGTTAATATATGGAAAAAAATGCTACATTCTTCCAGTGGAAGAACTGTGAACAGAAAATTCTTTCTGTGAAGACAAAATCCAGTTTGGTCTAATTAATTCAGGATTTGGGTCAGAAGTCAGCTCTACATGTAAAGAAATGACTTCATAATTCAACCAGACACATTTGAAGTTCTGTTCCACTTGGTGACTCTAAACTCAGACATATTTACATGTAAACTTAATACTCTATGCCTCACCCCATATGATGAGGCCTACTTTGGAAGTTGTGCGGTTGTAATATAATGAACTGGAGAAAATTGGAGAAAACATTATTTATGTAGATGTAGTTGCGTTGCTAACTCAAAAAACATGATGCATAATTTGATGTTACTTTCAGTGTTGCTGTGTAAAAGACACTCATTATCTCTTCTTTTTCTCTGTAGGTTGATTTGGTAAACATCGGAGGGACCGATATTGTCGATGGAAACCACAAACTGACGTTAGGCCTCATCTGGAGCATTATTCTTCACTGGCAGGTGAGAACTTTCCACACTCAAACTGCAAGCACACATGGTCTCATTAGTGTTTGCTTTAATAACTCGCTGTCCACTGATGCTCCAGAGGGACCAGAAAAACGATGATGGAAACTCTGTATCAAAGTGCACACAGGCGTTCATCCATGTAAACATGCTAATCATTCAGAGCTTTGTCAGTTTGACTTACTGGAAATATAAGCAGCTGCTTTTTCTCTGAGGCGGTTTCTATTGCTATTGTTTGTTTTAATACCACAGAAGACAGTTTTGCTACTGAGCAACTTATTCTTGTTAATTTCTTTTTATAATATTGATGATAGTCACTTTGCTAAAGATATACTGTTTTGACCTAGAACAGAACAAGTTTAGTGTGATTGAATCTCTTTTCAAATGGCGTATGTAATGTAGGGCATCGATTGTATGTGAAAATGTTTAGAGTTCTTTTGTTTTTGTTGAGTTCATAATATCTTTGTTTCCATTTGTAGGTGAAGGACATCATGAAGGACGTCATGTCCAACCTGCAGCAGACCAACAGTGAGAAGATCTTGCTAAGTTGGGTACGACAATGCACGCGCTCGTACTCGGAAGTCAACGTGCTGAATTTCACCACGAGCTGGTCTGACGGACTGGCCCTGAACGCAATCCTCCACCATTTCAGGTGCAGACCCTAAACACTCCTGTTGTATCGACAGTATTTTCAACAGATATTTTTAAGCTTTGTTAAAAATGCCAGAAATGTAAAGTTTTGGTGTAAGGTACTGCAAAAGTTGCAGAAGGTCAGGGTGACAGGTCAGCATCTATAGGGTGTGTGTGTGTGTGTGCGTGTGTGTGTGTGTGTATGCTGCTTGACTTATTCCCTTTAGGCTTGCTGTGTCACTGTTTGCTTACTCTCTGTGTGCTGTTGCATGTGAAAGAAAAAAGGGTTAAAGGGGGTCAGGGATGTTTTCCCCCTTATGTAATCCCTGTCCTTAGTAATGGTGACACACACTGGCCTGGGCTCTGTGAGAACGACCAGTGTTGGTTTAGACCTGGGCCTAGGCTTTAGTTGGATCACTGAACACACATTCCTCACCCGCATCAGCCACTCATCCCCCCCGAGCCTCCACTCCCTACACTGCCCAGAAACCAGCCTTTTTTGTACACAGCATAAACTGTTGATAAAATGTGAAATTATTAATGACTGTTCCCATTTTCAGTGTCACTGTTTATACTGTTTCTCCCCCCCCCATTCTCTGACTGTATTACTGGTTTTCTGTCTGTCTTCAGGCCAGAAGCATTCAGCTGGGATCAGGTGGTCAAAATGAGCCCTGTGGAGAGACTCGACCACGCTTTCACCTTCGCCAAAAACCAGCTAGCTATAGAGAAGCTCCTGGATCCCGAAGGTACAGTTTCTATTTGTTGTGCCGGTATGAATACTTTTGTTTCCTGGCAAAAGTATTCATACCTTTTAATGTTTCTCAGATTTTGTCCCATTCCAACCACGTGTCTTTTATTGGGATTTTATGATATACATCAAAACAAATTGGCGTATAATTATAAATTGGAGGCAAAACAATTAATGGAAATGTTTATTGCAAATTCATGAAGTGAGTCTGTGGGATTTTTGTAATTTCTTCATCTAAGGTTGTAATGTTGAGGTCTGGAAAGTCACAAGATTGGCAAAAAAAAAAAATCACTTACTAAAATAAAGCATTAAGAAGTCCAGAGTTTGCCATAAGTCATGCAGGGAGTCCAGCCAACATGTGGAAGAAGATGGTCTGGACAGATACTCTAGATGCAGAATGCTACATGTTGAGAAAAGCTAACAATGCAAACCATTCTTTGTAGCACATGATGTTTCAGCAGTGCTACAGAAGCTGGACAAAGTTGATGGGAAGATTGATTAATATAAATGCATTGAAGGAAACCCATTAAAGGATGAAAAACAGTTTTCAGAGTTTATGTGCTTATATTCCAACAAAATGTTAAGTATCCATACACAAAGTGTATGGATACTTTTTCAAGGCTCTGTAAAAGACCCAGACTGAACTATTTTTGTAGTCCCTGATGCGTATACTGTGATGATGAACACGGCTTTAAACTCCTGCCAGCTCCTAAAAATCTCACTTTAATGCCTCGAAGTTGTTTCAGTCTGAATAGTCTCATTTCAGGTATAATCTACTTTATATCATGATTGTCTACACCTGACCCATATCAACACCTTTTTTAACGTGTTTCTACCTGCTTTTGTCCCTTTCTATATAATCTCCTCCTTTTGTTGCCTTTAACTACTATTCCTGCCTGCCCACGCTTTGGTTCTTCCTCATGCAATTTTCACCTCTTTATCTCCTCTTTCCAACCTCCTGCTTCCAATATTCAACTGACATCTTGATCTTTCTGCCTCCTCATCTGTTTCTCTTTCTCTGGCTTGCTCATTTCTCTGCCTCAGACGTGGCGGTGCAGTTACCAGATAAAAAGTCCATCATCATGTACGTTACCTCGCTGTTTGCCGTGCTTCCCAAAGATGTGAGCATGGAGGCTATCAGAGAGGTGGAGACGCTGCCTCGCAAATACAAAGTGGAGGCTGAAGACTCAAATCCAGGACTCGGCACACAGGTATAATATAAATGTTTTATTATACAGGAGGGTAAGAGCTTTTCCATGTGGTTAATTCTGGGCTCTAATGCATCAAACTCCTGTTAGGAAGCCAGCTGTATTTTGTCTCCCTATGTTGTCAGCATCAGTCACACCTCAGAGGCAAATTCCAGACACTCGCATGACTTTAATATTCAGTCTATGCATTTATTTGCAAGAAAATGCATCAAGGTTCACTGAGATTACAAAAAGTTGTTTGCTTTTTTGTCATAATGTTTTCTGTAGTTTACAGTGAAATCCTTTTATTGTGATGTTGTATTTTGCTACATGAGCCATAGAGTCACAGCCAGCTGGCTGAGAGTTGGCACTTATATTTTTCCCTCATTTTATTTAATAATAGCAAGTTTTGTATGTTTCAGACTATTTCTGGTTGGGAAAAACATAAAATATTAATGGCAAGGAAAGTAAAGGATTGCCACCACCACGTTTGCCAAGTTAACACTTATTAAAACTACAGTTGACAAGCTGTGAGCTGACTGCAGGCTTTACTAGATCAGATAACCCAATTCATTCTTTAACTTGTTATAAAGATCTGCATTGCAGTTCAAACAAGTATGTTTTTTGTTTGCTTGCTATTAGTAACATGAAAAAAAAATTGTGAAAGTCACACCAACATATTACAAATGTCACTTATAAGCTTATTAATCAGTCTGCATGGTGTTTCTCACTCAAAGAAAAGCGGTGATGGGGTCTGTTACACTCCGAAAAGATGACACACTGACGGCCATGCTTGGTCGACTTTGAGGAAAATAAGGTAGAGAGCAAAAATAGAACCAGAGTACCTTGATGGAGACCTTCTGAACTTCTCACACGGAGACCACGGGTACATCTGCTTTCCACAAAAACTCAAGGTGTTCTTTTTTGGATGAATCTTGTGATGGATGGAAAAAGACCCGTAGCTGAAGCACAGCTTTGCAAATAGAAGCAGATTTAGTTCAAAAATGATTTTCTTTTAAATGGTCTAGAACAGAGGTCCCCAGAAAGTGGTGCAGAACAAAATTAAGTCTTTTTTGGAAGGACACCCCAAAATGATTGAACCAAACTTTGAATACCATTGAAATGTAAAGAAAACCTCTTTTTTTGTTAATCATTCTGTACAGAGGCATAGAGCTGCCACTCTTGCAAAAACAAAAGAAAAAAAAGTGCTTCATCACATGGTAAAGTTATTGTTTTTGCAATAAACATTACATGTTTGTGTACAATAACAAGACGGTAGTAAGAAGTTATTACAATATACATATTATTACATTTGAATGATTTCACATTTTTTCTTGCATAAATGATCTAGTTTAGTTTCCAAGGAGCTTCAACCTCCCCTCCTGTAGATCAGTGAGAAATGCTGCCACCTTCATCAGGTCAGACTCATTTTTCCTCCTGTTCCCCAAAGTATTTCAGTTTCTCTCTGCGTACATATTATTGTCAAAACAAAGTCTAAGCTGCTAAATAACAGCAAAATCTAGTCATGGTTCAATCCAAGAATTAAATAAAGGGTACAGCCTTATAAGTCCGTACCCCTTTTCACCTCAAGCTGGTTGTTTTTGAGTGTCAAACCTGTTGTGGCTGTACAGAATCATTTTCACATATCATTGTCTGAATGATTCTCCCAAAGCAAACCAAAACTCTGGTGTGTGGTGGAACCAAATTCACATTTTCTACTTCAACTCCAATGCTTAGTTTACATCTAGTTTGAAGGCTATTAGGATTATTGTATTTTGTGTGCCTCTGGACAGAATGAGTCACCCCCACCTTTAAGAAAAAAAAAAAAAAAAAAGCAGCTGCCTCCGTTCTCTCCAGCTATGCTTGTGAAAAGCACAGCGGGCATGGGCAAATTGGGAGCAGAACCATGACTCACTCCTCTGACATTACCCAGCAGACCATGCTGTACACTGGAAACATCGAGCTGTAACTGGGATGGAAGGAAAGAGGGGAGAGTAGAGGCAGAGAGTAGAAATCAGCTTGCTGCTGGCTGAGCTTTAGTTTGTCACTGAATGGACTCTCCTGCTGATTCTTAAACTTGTAATCTGTGCACAACATTGCTTTGACCTCCTAAAAATCTCCCAAAATATCTCTGGACAACAGGAACTGCATTGGTTAACTTTTTTTTACCCTTTTGAGCCAGCTGTTTTGACTTTATCCACAGCGCAGCTTCTGGTCAGAAAATCCCCAAACCACCTCTTAGGTTTTTATTACCTGTGGGCAAATACTTAACACACCCTGGACTGGATTCTGGAAAAGTCGTCTTGAATAATACTCTGATTTGTTCAAAATGAGATTTACTTTCCTGGGACATTCTTCCACCATTATGAAGTGATGCAGCTGGCAGCGGAACTGACTGGAGGAACAAGAAAGACCCATTTGTTTTATTTGCAGACATGTTTCGAGGCGCCAGCAATGATTTTTGGAGATCGATTTGTTGTCGTTTATCCTTTAAGCACTTTGTATTTTGATATTGTTGAATGAAAGCATGATAAGGATGTGTAGTATTGCATTATATGATCCATAATCGTAACTGTAGAATTTATGAGGGCAGCGACAGAGTTAAGGAAATCATCTGGTGATAATAAAGCGCTCTTTTACAGCCGTGCACATCTTTAAATAAAGCAATGGTTAAGATTCCTTTCTCGGTCCCTCCCTGGGTTGTATTTCTGTTTCGTACAGCAGCGTCAGCACAGTATGCTGCTGTTTTTTTTTATCCCAAAATTTCCAAAAGGCCACTGAATATTTTCAGCTCCTGACCTTTTCCTGAGCTTACTGCTCAGGCCTCGCCACTGTGTTACTCCAGCCACCAAAACAAAGGCCCATTTAACTTTTCGCTGTATTAGTCTCTACACACTCATAAGGATTTCTGTCCTGTTTGACTTGGCATGCTGACTGCTGCTGCTGCTGCTGCTGGTGCTGAGGGCTTATCCTGTTCAGCTACAGACAGATTAGCTGAGTTCCTTTGACCTTCCCTTCAGGAAAAAAAAAAAAAAAAAAAAAAAACCAGTAATGCTTTCTCTGAATGGCTAGGAAATACATAACTACTCTTAAGTTTATAATTGGATCATTTTTTGTTGTACCCTTTAGGAGAAGTGCAATTTGAACTAAAGCTTGTCTTAATTTTGTGTGTATGTGTCACACAGCACATTTTTAAACCCTTCTTTCGGATTCTCTCCTTGTGTTTCGTGCCAGACGGCCTTTTCATTCATGTCTTTGACTGTACATTTACCCTCATCTTGGTTCCTGCTGGATACTTTATTGTTTTGAAGCTCATGTTCAGTCCAGAAATCTAGACCAACCCTTTGCAGTGTCCTAGGGAGACCTCACAGCATCCCGTAATAAGCATGCAGTTTTTTGACCCAACAGAGAGGTCACTTTGTGCTCTCCAAGGCTACACCACCCCCTCCTACATGTCTGTTTCTATTTTAAATCTCTTCAGCTGATGTGCACAGATGCAACTAAAGTTAGAAATAATGAATGGAGGGTGTGCACTGTGTTTTTATAGACATTATATGTGAGATGTATTGGTCTAATTTGGTTCTTTCCGAAAGTATTTGTACCCCGGGAAGCTCAGAGACAGACTTTGAAATACTGTTGTTAGTTTAGAATGGTTTGGCACCAAAATGGATGTTATTGTTATGTCAACCTTCCAGACTACTCAAGTCTGCTGGTTCTGGTTTGCTGTTCATCCTCAGAACCAGAACCAAACACGGAGAAGCAACATTCAGGTTTATGCATCACTAATCTGGAGCAAACATACAAAAAAACCCGCAAAAATGGCTGAAACACTGAATTACTTTAAATCAAGTACGGTGATTCAAAGGTTCTTGCCTCGATTTAGCCTTAAATCAAGACTAAAAACTCACCAGTTTAAAGTTTCCTTTGATTCATAATAACTGGACCATTGATATTTGATGTTTATTCTTGATGATGGCATTTGACACAATATTAAGTTTGTTGCTTGTTTCATAAGCGGCTACTATTTTATGTTTTTTTTTTTTAATCACGTAAAGCACTTTGAACTGCCTTGTTGCCAAAATGTGCTGTACAGATAAACTTGACTTTGTGTTTACAGCTTAACACACCTAGAGGCTGAAACTTTTGTAGATTCTTCACAAAATAGCACATAATACGTTTCCTGTGGTTGCACTCTCACAACGTGAACAAGTTTTAGGGTTGTGAAAACTTTTGTAAGGTTATAATGTTACAAACTGGATGAGGACCTAACTGGAAGTCTATGTTTCAGAGTGTGCAGATGGAGGAGGCAGGCAGCAGCCCGCGACCCGAGACCCCCAGCACCCTGATGGAGACAGAGGGGGAGATGGACGGCAGCCTGCTGGAAGTGGACCTCGACAGCTACCAGACAACTCTGGAGGAGGTTTTGACTTGGCTGCTGTCAGCCGAGGATGCGCTGCATATTCAGGATGAGGTGTCGGACGATGTGGAAGAAGTTAAAGACCAGTTCCACACACATGAGGTAAGACAACTTGCATGGACTCAAACACTGTAATTTACCTTCTTGTCTCTTTGTCAGGCAGAAGCAAACATATCCTCAAACTGTAGAAAAGCAAAGCATGCTCTTCGAGGTTACACTTTAGAATAGGGTGCTCTGCTGAGTTACAGAAGTTTGATATAAATTTGTGTATATAAGATGCAGTGCACATCATGCTTGACGCACCCACTGGCTGTTTTGTTGATATCCGTCACTCTTCACTGCGACTTCCAACGTTATCTGCCAAACTGATGCCTTCCTAACCAGCAGTACATGCTCCGTACTTGTTGGGAATGCCAGGAATTTTACTGAGTGCCATGGAGCTCAACTCTCCATAGGCTCCCGGCCCAGCGCTGACTGGCTGGCTGACTTGCTTGCTTGCTTGCTTGACATGGGGGCGTATTTGCAAAGTTTGTGTCTGAGCATGTGTGTGAAGGGGCTTTGAATGGATTCCCTCGGCTGAAATGCGACTGTTTGTGGAGCTGAATGCCTGGAATCCAGGTCAAAGCAGAAAGCTGGTTGGGGAGACACAGAGCAATGAGATCTAAAGCCTCTTTAGCAGCCAGGCTTATCAAATGGCTTAAAATCAATTCTGCTTGTTTCGCTCTTGTTTTTACACACTATCCACTAGCAGAGACTAAACAATAATTAAAGTTCTCAGAAATGAAGCGTAAATGTATCACTCAAAAAGAAATCTTACAGAAATGGATGTGAAGTAAAGTCATTAGTTGCTTTCTCCAAGCTTTCATGTAGTTTAAGTTCCGTGTCCTCTTCGTTCATGGAGATGGAAACCTTGCTTGGACAGCGATAATGGTTTGTTGTCGGGTGGTGTTCGCGGTCAAACCAATTTGGTTTCATTTGAAGATGACAGAGTGAGTCAAATGGTTGAAGATTATTTTGAAATTAATAGGTCAGGTTCCTGTCGCCTCAGCTGTACTGAAATTTTATGGACTATGGTGTAAAAAGGGCTTGTGTAAGGAAGCCAAAATGTTTAAAGGCACTTTACTATTTTTTGCTAAACGAGTGATCAAATATTTTTGGTATAATTACGCCAGAAGGTTGGTAAAGACTACTAACAGCATGTGATTTGGGTGAAAGTTAGAAAGGGGACATTTAGCAAAAATATTGGGGTTTGAGAGTGTATCTGAAGTTGCATGTCTAATTTTGATTTCAAAGTAAATACAATTGTTTCAGTCATGCAAGTCATTGTAAAGTTTTTCCCTCATGGGAAACGAACTGTTCAAGTAAATAATTAGAACCTCCAAATGACAAATAATTCATGCCCATTATGAGAGTATACAACCTTCTGTCCCCATCTTTGTCTCCAGGGGTTTATGATGGAGCTGACCGCTCATCAGAGCAGCGTGGGCAATGTGCTGCAAGCGGGAAACCAACTGATTGTTCAGGGCAACCTAACAGATGAGGAAGAAGAGGAAATTCGAGAGCAGATGACTCTCCTCAACTCTCGCTGGGAGAGTCTCCGAGTGGCCAGCATGGACCGCCAGGCCAGGTGGGGACATCCACGTACTAAAGCTACAAAACATGATGGATCTATTGCAGATTACTACTGGGATGCGATGTGTGGTCGACTGCAATATTTTCGGTGTATTACATTGAAACTCGTGCTTGCAAATCACACATTTGGCTTCTTGCATGGACTCTTGCCATGTGCCAATGTAGATATTAATTAAGATTCTGAAACTTGAAAAGACTGATGCAGGCACTGTGATGAAGGAAAAGAGGAGTAGAGGAAAATGTATGTTAATCACAACAATTTGCGATGTAATAATATTGCGATGTTTTTATTTTTTTTATTTTTTTTCTATACGTTCCTTTGTACAGTCGTATTGCATTTTGACTGGAAGTTTTTCCTTCAGTTAATGTAAAGATAAAAACACATGCTTGTTTACATTTTGGTCTTAGTACAGTTTGGACTAATACTCAGTAGAAGTTGAAACTTAATGTACAGAAAATCATGCTTCGTCCTTCTGTCCTGAACTTTTTCCGTTCTCGTTTCCAGGCTCCACGAGGTTCTGATGGAGCTGCAGCAGCAGCAGCTACAGCAGCTCTCTGATTGGCTGACACTGACAGAGGAGCGAATCAAAAAGATGGAGACGGAACCAGCAGCCAAGGACATGGATGTTTACAAGGAAAACATAGAAAAACATAAAGTAAATAAATATTATACTTATGTTTAATAAAATATCTCCCTTCCGCTTGTTGTTCTAGTCTTACTGAGCACCTTTGTGATGCTTTATCTCTAAATACACCTCTCCTCCAATCACTTGGCAAACATCAGATCCTAAACTTTGACTAGTCAACTGGACTTTTAGCTATGAAGCTGAATGACTTTTCTATCATCTGCATTTACAGCTAATCACTGCACTAACTCAACTTTGAATTTCTTGATCAGGAACTTCAGAATGACTTGGAGGCGGAGCAGGTAAAGGTCAACTCTCTGACGCACATGGTGGTCGTGGTGGATGAGAACAGCGGTGAGAGTGCCACTGCTGCCCTGGAGGAGCAATTACAAGTGAGATACCATGCTTTAAGTCTGTGAGATAATCAGCTGAATAATATTATGTACTTATGTTATGTACTTAAAGATAATTTGCAGAAATTATTTAAATTAATTTCTGCAGATGTTAGAAATAGCTTGAAGTTGATTTGGACTTTTATTTAAGCAGAATATATTTATTTTTGTTCTTTGTTTCTAGTCTTTGGGTGAGCGCTGGGCAGCTGTCTGCCGCTGGACAGAAGAAAGGTGGCATAAGCTGCAAGAGGTTTTCTTAGTTTGGCAACAGCTTTTATCAGATCAGGTATGCAATATTTTTGCTTCATACCGCTCAGTCATCTTTCCTTTTATTTAAATGGTTCATTATAACAACTTACTGGAGAAGAAAAAAACTGATCCACATACAAGCAGAAATACAAGTTTCTGCTTGTATTTTAAAAATCAGCTTGACTTTAAGACAATAATGACAAATTTAAGTTGATGAATTTGCTCTTTTAAAATATTTTGGCAAACTGAATATTTACATCTTGGTTGTATTTAAACAATCAAAACAAAACAGTTTAACAATTACTTTCTAATGCTAGATTTGTAAATGAAAATTAAATAATTTTCTTTTTCACAGAGTTTGATTAGAGAATGGTTGGCAGAAAAAGAAGAGGCTTTAAGCCACGTCCAAACCTCCAACTTCAGAGATCCCAGTGAAATGAACGCGAATGTGCGACAACTAACAGTACGTAGAGAAAATTCTGTTTTATGCATCTGGCGCTTTGCTCTCAAATGTAATTCAGTGTACTGCATTTCTAAAATCCCGATCATCATGTGAAACATTAGGGCAACCCAAATTTTCAGTTGCCTGTTAAAAAAAAAAAAAAAAATCACATATTGATGTCCATCTTGTTTTTAAAGAAGTAAAGAAAGTGTTTTAATTGCAATTAAACTACAAGAAAAATAAACAGTAGGTAGGCTTTCCTCCTTTGGATGGATCACTTTAGTGAGATGCATCTGGAAGCCGAGATTCAAGTTGTTTTTCTCCTCCTGCTGTCAGGTTGAATTTCTTTCTCCTTTGAATGTCCCCCACTTACTGACAGTTTTTTAAATTGTTTTGAGACCTCTTTAAATCTCTTACTCATCTCATACTTTCTTTTAGAAGGCTTCAGATTTTATTTAATCTCACCATGGTGTCCATTTTTACCTAAATAGCCTACCTAACTATATCTGAAAGCTGTAAATGGCTTTAAAATGCCAAGTAATGATGTTTCCATCACATCATCCTGATGTGATGCACCTGTGTGTAATTTCAGCTATTCTAAGTGAGAACACATTTGGGTTGTCCTAATTTATTTTCTTTATCAGAAACTCCTTTATTTTTACATTTTACACAAGTTTAAGATTTTGTTTTCTTTATATTGTCCAAACTGATATAAAATCCATATTAGGACTAATGCACTGTCCTAATTTATCCACATCTGTAAATAAAAGATTGAGCTTTTTACATTCTCAAGAAATCCTGCAGTAAAAGTTAAGCTTTACTCTTATCGTTTCAGATTTTAAAGGAGGACATGGAGAAGAAGAGGCGGACTCTGGACAAGCTGTCGGATGCCGGTCAGGATGTGATGCAGCTGCTTCAGAGTGCCGAAGCAGGAGCCAAGATTGAGGCCGACACAGAGGAGCTGACTCACAGATGGGACAACCTTGTTCAGAAACTGGAGGACTGCTCCTTCCAGGTGTGCACTTGGAAATATGTCGTCATGATGCTAACATGGACATAAAAAGCTACTACTCAAATCTGGATGTTTATCAATAAAAGAAGTTTCAGTAATGAAAACAAGAGTGGGCGTACTATTAAACTTTACATGCTTTCCTTTGGTGTTTGTTTTTGCTTTTTTAGTAACTGACATGCAGAGATGGTTTTCTGTGCCTCTTTCTGTTTGACACTTGAAGGTAATGGAGGCCGTAACAGAATCTGGAATCCCTCAGATGGAGGAAAAAGTGACGGAGGCAGCAGCTTCTCCTGCTGTTGATCAGGAGCTGGCCCAACCTGCTCCTGCTAAGAAACGACTGGTGGAGACAGATGCAGAAATCAGACGAATGTAAGAACTTGAAACACAGCCTGCCTCTCCATTGATGGAAACTAAATTACAAACAGACCTGCAAACATGAACGCATTTTATTTTATGCAGGTTTGAAAATAAGCTCTCTGACTTAACAAGCTGGATTCAGACGTGGAAGATGTCCGCTCGGTCGCTGTGCTCCACGCCCCCTGAAACCACAGCTGATGCCCCAGACCTGCAGGAAAAACTAAATGTAAGAGTTTTTTTTTTTTTTTTTACTTGAATGAATGAACTATGGTCATTTTATTTTAAATTGGCACCTTATTGACAATATATCAATTATGTTTAACTATGACTTTAGGAGATGAAATTGCAACTGAAGGCAAAGGAAAGCACAGTTAGGGAACTAACAAAAGAAGGACGCAACCTGATGGAGCAACTAGAGAGAGGTAAGAAAAATATTTTTTCCTGACAGACAATAAATCCTCTAACAAGCCATTTAATCCATTTAAATGTGTGCCAAGAGCTCAGCTTGTGCATTGACTTGCAAAAACATTCATCCCCTTTTTATCTTTTTACATTTTCTGCCATTAAAACAATTTTCAATTAATAGATGAATAGAGCGATTACATATGCCCCTTATGAAATAAAATCCCAATAAAATATATTAAAGTTTGCACCTGTATGATGACAAATTGCTAAAAAAAGATAAACTTAATCAAAGAAATGTCCTTTTCCCCTATAATTGTGCACGTCTTGTCATTTTTTTAAATGACTTTTATGTCGATGTGCGATGTTTTCTGTGATGTTCTTGTTTTATTTAGTGGTAAATGTCAACAGTGTGAGTATATTTGTGCATTTTGTGGATAAAGGATGAAATATTTCAGCCTACAGGCATGCTGATTTCATATAACTATTCAATGAAACTCTAGACTTTATATGACCGCTTTGTTCTGGCAGCAGCGAAACAGCAGGAATCCTGTGACGGAGTTTTTTCCAAGAAACGATTTTATTCTTGTTCTTTTCAGTTTCCTATGGACTGTTTTTAACATTCACAACCTAACTGCGATACTTTCAAATGAAATTATAAAAACCTCTCGACATGGCACGGTTAATTATTGGAGTTCTTATGTGACACATTGCTGATTTGTTTCTTTCTGCAGAGGGAGCAGGTGTGGACTCGGTGAGGGAAAACGTAGACCTGATTCAGACCGAGTGGGACGTCTGTTCCAGGGAGCTCCAGGCCGCCCGAGACCGGGTTCTCACTCGGACCCGGATCAGACAAGTTTCCTCGGAGCTTGCTGACCTCAACCAGATGTTGGAGAAACAAGATCAGTGGCTGGCTACAACTTCACTCGTAAAAAGCAACAACGAGGTTGAGCTGAGAAACCTGAGTGGAGAATGTAAGGTGAGGTTTGCCACATTAGTCCCACTTAATCTGCTTTCCTAAATTAAGTTTTTATCCTCAGTTTTAACATCTCCTTTTGTGTTCCCAGTCCCGCCTCGCTCAGGTCACTGCCGTAGGTCCGCGACTCGAACAGCTGTCTTCGGAGGCAGGAACTCTGGGAACGGTGCCGTCTCTGAAAGACAACATGGTCGTGGTTTCTGCACATCACTCCTCCACACTACAGCAGCTGCAGAACAGAGAACAAGACGTGAATCAAGGTAAACATGCTTGGTTATGTACAATTATTTCCAAAAATATCCACACTCTTCAGCTTTTTCAATTATTAGACCAGCAAAAGATTATACATGGTTTTTAAACTTTACAAATTGTGGCCTTCGTTTGTATTTGACCCTCTTTGCTGTGATGCACCTTAATTAAATTTGGGTTTGTGAAAGCCTCAGATGTTCGTTAGAAAACATTACTGAACAAACATAGTCACGAAAACCAAAAAGTGTTTAAAGACTTTAAACATTCCAGCATTTTGTTCAACTTATTTTCTGAAAATGGAAAATATATAAATGGAAATGTACCATTGTGGATTTTTTTTTTTTTTTTTTTTTTAGATGAGACAAAAATTTAACTTTTTTTGAAAACTGGAGTGATGTTGACCTTCCAATAAGATAACACTAAAAATGCAGCCAGAGTTAAAATGAGATCATTTGGATTAAAGCAGATTTATGTATTAGAATGACTCACTAAAAGTCCAGACCTGAATCATATTGATAATCAGTGGTGATGATCAACATCTAACTTGACAAAGGTTGAGTTATTTTACAAAAAATAATATGCAAAAAAAATTATAAAATGGTATTTCATCTGGAGGATAAATTAGCTCTTAAACACTGTGCAGGCTTTATGCTATGTTTTTTGGAAGAACATGTTTAGCTTTAAGCAGGATCTGATCTCCTATTTAATGATAAAAATCTTTTTCTCTTTTTCACTGAAGCTCTTACATTTACAAGGAAAGCAAAACAATAATGGCTAACATCAGTACAGCTGCTCAGGAGCTATGTAAATTTGACATCAGTATTTTTTATTGAACCTTGACTAGTCTCGAGTAATAATAGATCTTGCCCTTATATGGCCTCCAAAAGCGCACAAATTTACAGCAGCATACGCAAGAGATTTTATGCTAAGTCAAATGTCTGTCAGCTTGTTTCTACCCGAGGACGTGCGTTGGATATAAAACAGTCCTGAAAATCGGTCTGTGTTTTAATTCCTGAATTAATGTGTGCAGATCTCAGCCAAATGTTACCTCGTAACCTGAATAAACTCTTGAACATAAGTGTCTGTGAGTGTGTTTTGCTGTGCCTGGGAGCTTTTTAAGACAGCTTTCCTTTGGAAGGAAATCAGTTGCTTCTGCTTGAGGGTACTCTCGTGATGGGGGCTCTCCATCTTGAACTTTCACTTCCTCTCGGCTCTTGCTCTGTGTAAACACAGTCCGATTATGGAAGCATTAAATCACCTGGCAATTAACAGGCAACAAAACAGGAGGCAGGAGAGACGGTTATATAGCAGAGCAGGAAGTGGTGAAACACGGCGATTATGAATATTTATCATCCTCCCTCAAAGTAGAAAACGCACAAACTGGACACCTTCTTCTCCTTGCACAAGTTTTAATATTATATCCCAGTCTTATATGTGATGTAATCTTCTTAAAACTTAAATTTACCTTTTTTTTTTTTTTTTTTTTTCTTTTGCCCAGCCTTGGCCAACGTCGAAGCCAACCAGGTGGTTCAGGATGCGGTGGACGGCCTGGAGGCCAGTATGGCGGCTTTGAAAGACGGAGTCGTAGACGTTCACACAGCAGAAAGGGCAGTGGAGCGGGCACAGGTGGGTGCTACTAATAAACAAAGAGACTTTCCTGCAGAGCATTTTGCATGCAGATATCATATCAAAGTGACAGATTAAAAGAAAAGTCCAGAAAAGTAGATATCACTAAGTTGCACCTTTCTATTTGCATGTTTTTTTTTTTATTGGCATGTGCGATAATTATTGATATTTTGACATGGCAGGAATCTCTAGATCTTGTTAAACTTTTTTTTTTTTTTTTTCCTTTGTGGTGGAGTAACTAGTTTATCAGAGTAGTGTCATCCTGTCTCTCCTGTGGTTTCTACAACACAATAGGCCTCTTTCTTGTACCAAGCCGTCAGTTGCCTTAACACTGCATTAAATTGTGTAAGAAGTAAAGGGTGTGTGTGTGTCAACAAGCCTCTTTTTTGTTTTTGCACAGAAATGGCTGTTTTGTAATGAGCGTGTTGTTGCGTACTGAACATTTGCCGCCTCCTCCATCTGTCCATGGAATGCGGCTCAGCCTGCGCTCTTGTTATCGCGGTAGATGGGACGCTGTGCAGGGGAGAGGGGCGGGGAGGTGACACATTCTGGGCTGCGTGCCTGTGCATGAACCGCGTAGCTCCATGTGGAGCCTGCCAGCCTCAACATACAATCCAGTGACAGCATCCCAGAGATCAGTCAGACATTAGTCTAATGAGAGGAGATGACACTGATTGTTGTAGCTTTTTGTTTTTACGAGTTCACAATATCATTTACACACATTGCCTCTTTATTATGCCTTTACTGATTAAATGAGCCTAATTATGTGTGCATGTAAATTGCAAATCATTGATACAAATGGCTTTTTCATAGTTACTGAAGAATGTACACATTTGTTTTGTCTGATTTGACATTTTGAAAAAGACGTTTCACAAAGTAGTCTGATCTGCATTTGTTGCATGTTGGTCCTTTTATTGTCCTGCTTATCTTTAACAGAGTTCATAGAGTTCAGAGCAACACAAGTTTGATTTCCGTTAGCATATGTCATAATATGTTCTCTTCTACCCCCTTGGCATCCACACAAATCAAATTAGGAAAACCTTGCAAACTCCTTTAACTTGGAAAATGACTCAGAGCAGGGTTTCATGATCTAGAAATGTGGGGGAAATAGATTTTTTGAGACTTTTCCAGTTTTGGATAAGCATGAAAAAAACAAATGAGTAGTGAAAAGTGGTGCCGTTTCAGAATTTATTCCATTTCCCGTTGTCTAAATGTTATTTCCTTTGTTCAATCATTCATACACTCCCATCTGACCTTCTTTCCGTTTGTTCTTATGCCTTCTTTTTTTCCTTCTGTTCTTTCTTACGGAATCTTCCGTTTTTCCATTCTGGGCCTCATGTTGTCCTTCCTGTACTTCCTCCTTATCTTCCTCCTTTTTCCCTTCCTTTCCGGAAAAGTTTGAAATGTTACGTAAAAAAAAAAAAGCTGTAAAAACTCTGTCAAAGCTACAAATGTGTGGTTTTAGAAATGATTTCAGAAGTTTCCAAGATGCAGTGTGGCGTTCACACGGCTCTGAGACTTTGTTGAGCCTGACCTTTTGCTGACCACAGGGCCTGTGTTTGGAGATTGAACAAAAACAACAAGCCACTGATCCAGCTGAACTACAAAAATGGAGCCAGCTCTCTTCAAAAGCCCGCGAGGAGCATGGCATGCTGCAGTGCATTCTGGGCAGCATGAAAGACAATCAGGTAGGTTAACTCTAGTTACCCCAGTAATTTTGCTCAGTGTTTCTTGATGTCAAAGTTTGTCCACTTGTTGTTTGTAAGGTGCGTTTGGAACAAGTGGAGCGCTGGCTGGATGCAGTTCAGGAGCTGCTGTCGAGGGACGCCACAGGGATGGGCGATGCTGAGAATCTGCAGGCAGAGCTTAATCAGTGCAAGGTATATATAAAAAAAAGAAATGCAGACACTAAACATTTTTTAAACTCAACATATCTACATTTATTTACATTTTTAAATTGAAACTTTTTTTTTCTTTCTTTTCTGAACTAGGAGTATGTTACTGAGATGGAGCTCATGGAACGTTCATTAATGCAGATGGAAGAAAATGTACAAGCTGTGCAGGCGACTGCAGTCCCAGGACTGGCCCAGTGGGGGCAGGATAAGTTGGACCATTGTCAAGAAAGATGGGCCACACTCAGTAAACAGGTGACGAAAACAGTGAATTTCACTTTAAAAATTTCCGTTTACGTTAGGCATCAGTTTTAGACTAATGTGTGTTAGTCTAAAACTAGACATTCAAGTCTCAGTTGAGACTTGAATGTCTCAACTGAGACATTCAACTGAGTCTCAGTTGAGACTTGAATGAGACTTGAATGTTGTTCAGCAGATAATCGGTGACAACCCCCACTTGAAGGGTAAACCACATCAGGTAATTGTTAACGGAGTGCTGTGCCCAAGCAAATAATGGAAAGTTAAGTGGAAGGAAAAACGTAATCGGGAAAAAAAATTAAATGGGGGGGGGGGAAGCTCTGAGAGGATTAGAAGCAGAACCTAAGTAAAAAATTCGAGGGCGATTCAAATGCATTAATTGTGATGCATAGTTTAAATGTGTTTAGTAAATATTTCTGTTATTTATTTTGAAAATCTGTCGAATATGTTCCCGTGTAGCTCTTGAGTCATCAGGAGCATGTGGCTGAGAACCAGGAGAAGCAACTGAACCTGAAGAAAGACCTGGCAGAGATGCAGGAGTGGATGGCCCAGGTTGACGAAGAGTTTCTAATGAGAGACTTTGAGTATAAAAGTCCTGAGGACTTGGAGGTGTCACTGGAGGAGATGAAGGTATGGGTAGGAAAAAAAAAACATCAGGAAAACATTAAATTTGTGTTTATTGTGAAAAATGTTTCAGCTTTTGGATCTACATATTTACATGAACTCTTTAATTAAAGCGTGCTAAAGAGGATGTGCTACAGAAGGAAGTGAAAGTGAAAATCCTGAAGGACAGCATCAACCTGCTGGTGTCCCAAACATCGCACCCCGCTGGAGGCTCCGGACAGGAGCTGACCTCCGAGTTAGACGGAGTGCTAGCCAATTACCACAAACTCTGTGACCGCCTCAAGAGCAAATGTCACACACTGGAGGTAATTTTTGAATGATTGGAACGACCTTCTGAGTCTATAAAGTAAACCAAAAGTTGCATGTTAGAAATATGAGACCACACCAGCATCATTGTTTATAAATTTATGACTAAAAGCTTTGCTCCAGTCCACAGATTTTCATTTTTAAAACGGCTAAATCTCAATTATTTATGCAACAGTGGGCTAATTTAATGTTGGTTAGCTCAGTATTGGAATGACACATAGTTTTATGCGATTAGTCATTGCTTTGGCTTTATTTCCTTAATTTACATGCAAGGGACAAGAAAAGCTTGAAGATGAGGCTGACGGTGGAGGATTTTTTATTTTTTTTTAGCGATAATCTCTGAGATTAACGCAGCGTTTTTGATCGTCTACATTGGAATTCATGTGTAGTTGAATCGTGAGTCATTTGATTTTGCTTTTATTTATTTTTCCCGTTAGTAATTTAATCATGCATGCACTTTGCAGGAGGTCTGGTCTTGTTGGATGGAGCTGCTTCAGTACCTGGACATGGAGCAGGGCTGGCTCAACACTGTAGAGGAGAAACTTCAAGCTACTGAGAACGTACCAGAGAGCACTGAGACGGTCACTGAAGCTCTGGAGGTACACAAGCACTCAATTGTATGTCGTCTCATTGAATTTCTCCAGAATTTACTCAATTAGATTGAAGGATGCTCGTGTGCAAAATAACCAGGATGGACACCTTTCTTTTTTTTTTTTTTTTTCATTTCACTTGCTAAATCATTTAAGTAATCGCAGAACATCCAACTAACATGGTAAATTCATTAAAAAAAATAATACTGCATGGCTGTGGGCTTTGCTTTGAGAAAATAAATTCTAACAAATGGATATAATGGACATCCTCACTAATTGTGTAAAAAACATCTACTTCATAAATATGGAATTCATGATAATTTAATTAGGCCTGAATGTTTTTGCATGTAATTTTCATTTTCCTCAATGCAGAAGTGGCTTGTTTAAAAGCTTGACTTTTACACCGTAATTCATTAGTTTGTTAAACTGAACTCACTAACTGGAATTCATTATTTTCTATATAGCCTTATCAGCTTTTAAAAATAAGGTCAACCAATGTTGCTCTGCTATGCTTTATGTAAATATTTCATTTCAGTGAGGATTATGGGAATTTATATATATGTATATGTGGTGAAGAACTTTTCAGTGCGTTTTGATCCAACCACAAGAGGAACTTGTGGGCTATAAAATATAACATTGATGCTCGAGAAGATTGGCAGGCGCCTTTAATCTTTTAACTTCAGACTATTTGATGAATGGATTGTTTAGTGCAGCCTCTGAGCTCTGCCAATTTCAGTTGCAGATAAATCTCAGCAGAAAAGAAGAGCAGCTTCTTTGAGAGTCTCTGGAAGTAGATGAAAGCTGCCTGAGATCTGAGAGAGCGAGCGATTCGGCTCATCTTCTTTGGTTGAAAACACAAAATTATCACCAGAATTTATTTAGCAACAATTCTCGTTTAAACTAGCTTTTATGCTAATTCACAAAAATAATTAAACTTTTTATTTCACTAAAAAAAATTTTAATTCTTCTGTAAATAAAATGTTGGATCTTTTTTTTTTTCCATTTATAATAATTGAAACTAAAGTAATGAAATTGTATGCTATCTTAGAATATAGCCTCAGTAAAATGTAGCTAAACTAAATTATTTTAAGCCTAATATTAATATTGTATAAAAAGTTGCCTTTCGGGGACAAATAATTTCATAATAGGCAAAATTAAACATTAATAACCTCGTTTGTCTTTGATTTGCCTTCCAAATTTCTTTTGCTTTGACTTGCTCTGCTGCTATATCTGTAAACCGCCTGCAGCCTGTCTGTCAAAATCACTTTCATCACCGCACTGCTTCTGTAGCATCACATTGTGATGAAATAAATTGAAGACCCTTGAAGTCAATGTTTCCCCTTCTTGTCCATGCCCTTCTCATCAAATGTTTAAGGCTAATTTTTGTCCTTACTTTTACTTTCTTTCTCTCCTCCCTACAAGTCTGCTGTTTGCCTTTCCTGCCGTTTCTCTCTGTGCCTGTTGAACTCTGAGTTTTTTAATTAGGCCGTCCCCATCCAGTGGGAGGAGGCTGTCACTCTGTGTCCGTTACCTCTGGGAAGGAAAAGCACATTTAATGAACCTACATAAACAATGTTGGGTCCAAACGTGTCGTCATTCAAGAAGCTCCCTCTGTTTCTCCTGTCTCTTTTTTTTTCCCCCCTCTGTTATTTTAGTTTTAGTTTTTTTTGTTTTTTTTGCTTCTGACACACCCGACCCAGTACTTTTTGCTTCTTCATCTGTTTCTCTTTTGCTTTTATTGTTCCTTTTCCATCTGTCCCTGGATTTCATTTGTCTTTTTGGTGTTCCTAAATGAGCAGCGACAAGCTTAGGTCTGTTTTTACGTGACATTTTGGTTTCTTTGGCACATTTTTTGGAACCATAAAGGAACTTCTGCAGTCTGTCTCCATGATTAAATGTATGTGTGCGGATTTTCTTCTGCCTCTCCAATTACCCAACAGTCTTTGGAGGGCGTGCTGCGCCACCCCGGAGACAACCGGACGCAGATCAGAGAGCTGGGTCAGACACTGATAGACGGGGGCATACTTGATGAACTAATCAGTGAAAAGCTTGAGGCCTTCAACTCCCGCTACGACCAGCTCAACCATCAGGTTGGGACTTTTCTCTGTCTTTGTGCGTCAGTGTTGATGTTTTATTTTCTGGTAACTTCTTTAGATTTTTTATTTATTTTTTTGTCAGCTTTGCAGTCGTATGTATAGAAAGACTTTTCCAGAAACATGTCCACTCATGCATAGTAGTGTGATACGCGCAATATGTAATTGGATATCCGGAAATATCATGCAAAACTTAAATTATTTGAATAATTAAATTCAAAAATAGAAACTCACATTGTATAGGTCCATTGTACAGAGTGATATCTTAGACATTTATTTTTTGTTAATTTGGATCATGATTTAAAGATTCTATTTTTTTCAAAAAATTAGAATATTACTTGGGATCAATTAAAAAAATATTTTTAATACTGACACTATTCTCTTATCAGTACACATAACCAGTTGTTTTATTATTATTATTATTATTATTATTATTATTATTATTCACTCATTATCTGACCATTTGTAAATTCATTTTTATTTTTTAGTTTGTTTATTAAGCCTAACAGTTAAAATTAAATTTAAAAAGTACACAAGAGATAAACAGTTGAATTCAAATTGTTTATATAGTTTCAATTTACAGCAAATTTTGCCTCAAAGCATTATAAACCTATGTATATATATATATATGCATACATGTATACTCAGTTGAATGCAGTCATTCAAATAGATAATATTTTGACAAATACGTCAGATTCTAGCTTCAAAGATTTGTTTGCTGGAAACCTGGCATCCAGAGGATGATTTACCGAAGGATAATGAATCCCTTTGCTCTTAAAGACATGACTTTAAGATTCTGTTCATCCAGTGGGGATACTAATTAAAAGAAATATTTGAAACTTCTTCTAAAGTCTGGAAAAACTACTGGTCAAGACTGCCTTCAAATATTAAAAATGATGTGCTTTGTAGAGCAGAATTGCTCTCTATTATTTACCATAACAAAAAAAAATAAAAAAAAACTTCTCTCACCAGCCTATCTGTAGGGATAAAAGTGTGAAAAGGTAAAAACATGAACTCTCCAGAAGCTTTTAACCAGAACAACTAACGAACACTAACTAACTATCGCTGCGACTCTGGAGCGCCACACTGTGACGATGTTCCTGCTTTCCTGGTGGGAGATTGTAACTGCTGTGTTAATTACTCAAAACTCTGAGTAATCAGTGGCAGGAGCTGCTGTTTTTAAAACATCGCCATCATCTCTCATGCATCCATGTTTTCAAAAAAACTTATATGAGCCTTCCAGGCTGCATTGTTTGAATTATTTACAACCAAAACAAATCATAAAATGTTAAGTGTTTCAGGTTTGTTCCATAACTTAGCCCCTCACTTTTGAATGTTATACATTTTTCAAATTTGTATTTAACTCACTTTTATCGCTCTGTTTCAGTATAATTGAAGCTTGATTATTCACATTTTTAATTGGATATGCATGTTTTTTTTTTTTTTTACGTATTTTGCAAGTAGCTGAGTATAATCATTAATGATACCAACCTGTTCATTTAATTTGCACATGCTCTGAGTGGATCTGAGTAAATTAAATTAAAGGTCCTGATAGACAGATTTTAAAGCCCTGACCTGCTGTTTGTGTCGTTATTTAGGCAGTGAACCGGCAGATTGGCCTGGAGCAGCAGCTGCAGACACTAAAGGAGAACGAACAGGCGCTCCAAACACTGCAGGAGTCCCTGAACCAGCTGGACCACACACTAACGTCCTACCTCACTGATCGCGTAGACGCGTTTCAGCTCCCCCTGGAGGCACAGGTATCCTGGCTACATGTTATAAACTCCTGGAAATGAGTTTGCTTAGAGATCCCACTTCTGTTTATAGGCTCAAGGAGTTAAGATCCACGTTCCCACCAAGTACAAAAGTCTGGAATTTGATTAAGAGAATTTTCCAGGCCAGGATAATTGTGGAAAACAAAAGAAGATAATCAAATAAAAAAGAGCATTTTTAGACTTGTTTTCCTCATTTCATTTTCTACATGCTGTTCTTTTTTACATCTTTCCTTTCGTCCTTTCCTTCTGAGTATTCTTCCTCCCATCATCCCCACCCACTTTCCCCTTTGTTGTTTCTTTCCTTAATTTCTTTACGTGTTTCACTCTTTCTTTCCTCCTATGGTTCTTCCTTCCTTCTTTCTCAAGCTGTTCCTTCAGTCCTCATGTCCCCGATTGTTTCTGTCCTCTTACTTCTTTCCTTACTTGTGTAGTTCCATTTCTTGTTTTGTCTGTTCTTTTCCTGCTTTCCTCCCCTCCTCCATCATTTTTTCATCATTGTCCATTCTTCTTTCTTCCTTATGTCGTTCATACTCTTCTGTCTTCTTTTGTTTGTTTTTTTATTTTTATTTCCCATGTCTCTGACATTCCTCCCTTCTTTGTCTAATGATCCATCAGATTCATTTTTGTCTTTTCTAAGAGTTAACCACTAAGACTTGCAAAATAAATAAATCAAATTAGGGCATGTGTAGTTTCTAGAAACTTGCGTACGTTACACACCTGCTTAGTTGTTGCTCTTCCTGCAGACCATCGGTGCAGAGATTGCTGCTCTTGAGGTCACGGTAGAAGAGATGAAGCGAAGGAATGTGACCAACTTGCCTCCTCCCACCGCAGAGGGAAAATCGGCTCGTGGTGCCACCATGCTGGACCAGCTACAGGTAACACTGACTCCTACTGGACGATGTTGGTAACTGTTCCTTTTGTTACCTTCTGTTATTTCAGTGTACAATGTTATTAAGTCAAAGCTATTTCTTTGTTTGCATTTTTTAAATGTTTATAGTGATAACAGGCAATAGAAATGTGTAACTTTACTGACATTTGCTTTGATGACTGCAGAGGAAACTGAGAGAGATCTCCACGAAGTACCAGCTGTTCCAGAAGCCGGCCAATTTTGAGCAGCGCATGTTGGACTGTAAGCGAGTTCTGGACGGTGCTAAAGCTGAGCTACATATTCTGGATGCCAAAGATGTGGAACCTGAAATAATCCAGTCCCACCTCAGTGGTTGCATGGTGAGGAATTTGAGATTTCTTTGTAAGCACTGTAGTTCAGCTGTTTAGTTTTTTTTTTTCCTTGAAAGTTGTGTTTTGTACTCATTTTGAACACATAGCAAATGTTAAAGTAATTGCAATGCATATTATTAAATATTTAAGTGCATCTATATATTTGAACATGTATGTAGAATTTTGACGTGATGTGGATCACAGAAAATCCACATTAAATAGAGACTTCTGCACCTAATTTCTTTTTTAAGTCATTTAATTTGCTTGTTATTCTATCAGACCACAAAGGAAAAAGAATGGCTCAAATGAATTATTGCAAGTACAAAATGAATATAACTTTGAGGTGCTTCATGAGTGTGTGGGCTTACCTGTAGGTACTTCATTCTTAATAAAAATGTGTTGTTTGCTTCTTTTCTGCTTTGTAGAAACTGTATAAGTTGCTGAGCGAGGTGAAGCTGGAGGTGGAGACGGTGATAAAAACAGGTCGTCAGATTGTGCAGAAACAGCAGACAGAAAATCCCAAAGCCATGGACGAACAGCTTACTGCTCTAAAGCTGCTCTACAATGACCTGGGGGCTCAGGTGACTTGAGGAAATCTTGTTTTGGAGCAAAAAGCAATGAAATTAAGATTTGGTGACATTCTTGGTTTCTGTAAAATCTGTGAAATTTGATTTTTGAGCCTTCTTTCCATTCAGTTTCAGTTTTTTTTTTAGAGTATTCAACCCACTCATTTCCCACTGTGTAAATGTCTTCCATAAATTCATGCTGACTTTTTATATTTTTTTATATTTGGGAGCAACATGGAGGACTGAGAACCCTGAAATGTTTTAGTCTGAAAATGTCTGGAGCTTAATGGAAAACATGTTGTAATCCTGGAGATGGTTCATGTCACCCTCGCCTTGTCTTCACAGGTAACAGAGGGCAAACAGGACCTGGAAAAAGCCCTGTCTCTGTCTCAGAAGTTTCAGAAAGAGAGCGCTGCCCTGCAGGAGTGGCTGAGCACTAATGAAGCTCAGCTACAGCAGAAGAACAGCTGTGGAGACATGCCAGCTGACATCGAGGACGAGATTAGATGGGCTAATGTTAGTAGGCGTTTACGTTACCCTAGACTTTTTTATAAGCTTTGTGATCACATTTATTTCAAGCTGTGAAGTATTTTCTAAGTATGCGTAAAGCAATAAAACAAACTACACAAGTAGATATCTGTCTCACCAGAAGATGGTGCACAAAAACTGTTTAAACCAGAGTCATGCATCGTTTCTCCTTCTAGTTTTCCAGTTTTTCTTTTATCAAGTTATGCAGCTCATCTACACATTTTTCTACCAATTCTTATTTTCCGGTTTAATTTGGGATGCTAAAGTCAGATTGTTTAACTGTTACCGTTTTCATCTGAGCTGTCTGTTATATTAACACCGTCAATGTGCCATTCAATCAGGGCCTGCTGAAGGAGTCGGAGCTTCGGAAGGCGGAGCTTTTCAACCTGACGGAGATCGGCGCGGGTCTGCAGACGCTGGTGGAGGGTAGCGAGGCTCAGCTGGAGGGCAAACTCTGCGGTCTGAACGAAGCATGGGACCAAGTTCGCACCTGGACCGAAGACTGGCTGAGTGCTGTTCTGGTTAGAGCAAATGTTGCATACAACGGGAATAAATAAATAACACGCAGCATATCTTTATTTACTTACGGTTGTCAGAGTAAGCAGAATATTCGGCTTGATTAATGTTGTACAACAACATGCTTCAGCTTTTCTCACCATGAGTTAAGCAGAACAGAAAAAAGCAACTTTTAAATGAAAAGATATCCAAGAGAATGTTTGTGATTTTATAACTTATGTCTAATGTAATGTATATAATATCAAAGTTTAGATTGATTTTAATACTGTTTTTTTTTTTTATGTTAAGATGCACTAGATTATTATTCATGAAAAAAATTCTTCAGTATGCCATTTAGGAAAATAAATGAAAATGAATTCAAATGGATTACAAATTAATAAAACTATTAGATGCTAATTGTCACTACATTACTAAACATCTTTTTGTGTAATCAAGGTTTCAATTTGTAAGCATCATCCAAGTTACTTGTTTTGTGTGTGTGTGCGTGTGTGTGTGTGTGTGTGTGTGTGTGTGTGTGTGTGTGTGTGTGCGCAGAGTCACCAGAATGAGGTGGAGATCTTCGATGAGAACCTGGCTCATATCAGCACCTGGCTCTACCAGACCCAGATCCACCTGGACGAGGCCGAGCGGATGCCTCCGGCTGAGAGAGGAAAAGTGCTGACGGTAAAAAACAAAAGATGATAATTGCAATTTAATTATGTTGCACCAGTACAAGTGAAGTACAATGATCCTGACCGGTAGAAATGGTGCAGAACATGTCAAACATACATGGAAAAAGTTGATTTCACATCTTTTTATTTTTTACTAAAATTCTGATTCTTTTATTTTAAAATCGTAGAGCTATTTGAGATTACTCTACTTATTCCTTTAAAAGCATAAGATTTAAAACTGTTTATTTAAACTTATTAGCCCTGTGTGCTTTATGCGCTTTATTAAAATCAGTCACCGTTACTACAGAAATCTTGCTAATTTTCCAACAATCTGCCAGTTTTATCAAGCTCTGACCCGTCACTAGAGATTTGACCAGATTCAGATTTTTCCCCAAAATAATGTATTTACAGTGTTTGTTGGTGTGATGCAATTAATTAAAAATAATATTTGAAAGATTAAAAAAAAAAAAAAGCAGTTTCATGTTTTACTGTTAAATTGTTTCATAAAAAGATGACTAGCTGCCTCTTGATCGGTTTTCAGAGCATGCTGGAGCAGCTGGACGTGATCAGTCTGCGTGTGGACAATGCGAGGGACCAAGCCGTCATCCTCATGACGAGCAGGGGGCCCGCCTGTCGAGATGTCGTTGAGCCCAAGCTGGCAGAGTTGAACTGCAACTTTGATAAAGTTTCCCAACACATAAAATCTATCCAGGTATAGGAGCATGAAATATGTTTCCTAAAAGACTTTAACTTTAAATGAAAAGCTGTCTTGTCCAACCATTTTTTTTATTTTTAATTTTCCTCTGATGAGCAGATGATGACCAGCCTGGAGTCAGGGAATTTTGAAGTAAACCAACAGATACCTCAGGAGGTACATACGTCTTTAATTACAACTTGGCTTTAATGTTTTGAATCTGAATCATTGGCTAATTTCTTATAATTTATTCCACGCGTACTAGAAATTAGCAGGAACGTTTAAGGTGACACGGCTTCTCTTTTTGAGGACGCGGTCAGATAATTGCGCACGTGTTTGAAGCTCAGACTGACTTGCCCTTGGGTTTGTTTTTGGTCTTTTTAATCAGGTCACTCGCAGTCAGGAGAGCCAAGAAGAAAGTCAGACTCAGCTTGCTCAGACCGTGTTCCCAACTGAGATAAAGGACCTTCAGGCAGAGCTGCAGGACAAGTTGAAGACTCTACATGAGGAGCAGGACCCAGTAAACATCCTTGATGATGATAAGGTACTCAAGGTTCAAAGGAATGATTTAATTTTTTAATCTTTGTAAGCAAAGTGATTTAATAACCTGCACTATAACAGCGACAAGGTATTTCCCTCTGTCTGGTTGGAGATTTCTTGGCTTCTCTAGTTTTCCTGTGGATCTTGAGCAGAAAGGAATGTTGACCTCAGTCATTCTCTCTATTATTTTTGTGAAATGTGCAATAAAAAATAACCTGCACTTCAGGCTATATAAAGCTGATAAGGACAGCTTTGATTGGAAACATCAAGTTTTATGACCATGAACACACCGGCTGGGAAAATAAAATCAGGCCAGTCTGACACGAGGTCATTGCCCTATTCAGGAAGTTGTTTGTTTTCCAGTCTACACCCTGCACTTGGCTGTCTAAGTGGATACAAATATAGCAACCCAAGGAAAACAAAAGCTAAATAAAATTATTTGACCCCTTTCTCTGTTTTCCCTACACCAGATGGACGAGGAGAAGGCCAACGTTGAGGACTTGCTGAGAAGAGGAGAGGAGCAGCTGCAGCAAACTTCAGACGAGGCTCAGAAGGAAGAGTTGAGAGTAATGCTGCTCAGGTTGCAGAGCCAATATTCTGCCCGCAGGGTGAGGCAAATAAACACTTCATGTCTTTTAGTTCTAGTCGTGTAAAATTTATTCTGCCTTTTAATTAAAAATGTCTGCACACAGTTTATCTTGCTTGTTTCTGCCCGTTTTAGGAATTTCTTAGAAATAGGCAGGTTACAATCTCTGAGGTGCCATCATCTTCCCTCATCTTCGGAGATCAGACATCAGAGTTTACTGCTGAGGTAAGTGGTATGGATACAGTGCTATATGTGTTTACAACAGGCCTGAGCTAATCACTGTTGTCAAGGTACAAAATGTTGCTGCTTTTGCAGCAAAATGTGGAAACCTGGTTGTTGGAGTTATGCTGTATTTTCGCCAGCAGTCATCTGCTAAAGTGGCTGCTGACCCCAAAGATGGATTTAAATTTTCCCTGTTCACCTCTAGTATGGAAAATGTGGATGCTGCACCAAGTGCTGAACATTATCTCACACCAGGCTTTTGATCTCCAGTTAGCATGGTAGAGCATTTTCGGATTGAGTTAGCTTTAGCTGGGCTTTGCTAATCAAGCGATTCATCTCTTTTGCAAGTATTACCCTTTGGGTTCTAACAAAATGAGGGAGCAAACTCCCCACTGAGAAAATTCAGATTCATCTGTGTCCCTTTTTCTATGCCACCCTGGGCAACCGCCCATATTAAAAGTTGCCTCTGGATGTTGTTTTATTGGTAATTACAGTGGCATGCTGATTACTTCTACTCCTCTCCAATACAGGAGACGTCTGCAACAGGTCGCAGCAGAGCTCAGACACTCACTCCTTCTGACTACCTGTTGGAGATCAACAAAGTTCTTCTCGCCATGGCCGACAACGAGCTGCTCTTGAACTCCTCGGAGCTTAATGGGGGGCTTTATGAAGACTTTTCAAGTCAGGAGGACACACTGAAGGTAGGCAGAATTCCTAAATACATCCACCTACATCAGCAGATTTGTGTTGGTCTGTTGTGTAAAATCCGAACCACCTGCATGGATGACTTTAAGCTGGACTTGACTGGTGTTGAGTGATGATCTACTGGATTTGCTAAATGTTTTCATTGTTTCCTCATGTATTCTTGTATATGTGTGCTCCAGTCTATTAAGGACAATTTGGAGAATCTGGGTGAGCAGATACACGGGATCCATGAGCGACAGCCTGAAGCGATGCGAGATGCTTCCCCGGACGAAGTGGTTCAAATAGGAGACAACCTAACACAGCTCAACGCAGAGTGGGACCGCCTCAATCGCATGTACAATCAGCGCAAAGGGTACGTTAAACTTCACATATTGACGAAGATATATTGAAGAAAATCAAAGGGAGTTGATTTTCCAGATGTGTGTGAGAATCGCTGTCTCAGGGCTTATGTTGAAGTCTGCAGGGAGCTGGAAGACCAGCTGTCCACAGATAAATATAGCAGAATACGATCCAGCACACACTCACTGACCTTCATTCATAACGCAGCAGTTGCTTGGGAATAAACAATCTCATGCCTATTCACATTTTCATTCCCACAAGTAAGCAGACAGACAGTGGGTGACATTGACCACCATCGACCTAATTATTTTTTTTTGAACGTAAGCAGTCTTTGTTTGCAGAGTGTAGTGGGTGCAAAGACGTGAGTAAGCCAGGGAGAAAATGTTCAGATTGCACGCAAACAGTGGAGCGTGCACAAAACCTCTGGGCATCTCCGTTAATCAGAAGAAGCTTATTTTTGAAAAACAGCTCATCAAAAACTAATTTCCTCAACTTCTCTCTCTCTCTCATCACTTCTGCTCCTGTTCAAAGAGATGCTGCAAGATGAGCAGTGTGATAAAGCCCAGGGTTTTCTGTTTTTTTTTTGTTGTTTTTTTCCAGTAATCATCCTTCTGGTCTATAATTCAACATTTTGCAACACTGCAGTGAGCTTTTTGTTGGTTTCAGGGCTTCTTGAGTGTAATAAATTTCTTTAATAGAAATCAAATAATCTGTTTTCCGACGGGTGAACAGGATTTAATTCTTAGAGGGCATAACAATTTTACAGACTCATGGGAAGCTGTGAAACCTGAAAAGCTAACAAAATGTAGGGGCGATAATTGAAAAGCGTAAAATATTAATCAGAAAAGGAAATAATTCCCACTTTTTCCCCACCAGCTAAAGACTTAAATTTAACCTTTTGTGTAGACAAGTATTTTCTTTTTTTTAGTGAGGGACTTCTATATGATATAATTATATTTGCTGAAACCAGCATGTTATTGACATACTTATGCGCTTCTGTTCCATTGTTTTAAGAGACTAATAAATGAGCTGATTAAAGAAACTTTCTGAACAGAATCAATGCAAGGACGACTTCTGGAGATTAATTGTAGCAAGCTGGGGGAAAAACATGGATTGTGCAAACTGGGAGCATTGCCAGAATAATTTTGTTGAATTTTCTGTCTGGAAGTTTCTTTCTTGTTCATTTGGGCTTAAATTTGCACAAAGCTGTTGTTGTTTTGACTTTAATTCCACAGGAGTCCCTCTTGCTGATGCTGTGCTACTCCCAATACTGAGGATCACAAGGCAAAACTATGTCTGTCTCTGATTTTGGCTTATAGGAGTTTTGACCGTGCCATTGAGGAGTGGGGGCGCTTTCACTGTGACTTGAAGGATCTGAGTCAATGGCTGACTGAAGCTGAGATACTGCTGTCCGAAAGCGTCGGCCCTGATGGGCAGCTCGACCTCGGATATGCACGGCAACACCAGGAGGTCAGTGAGGGGCCCTGTGAGGTTTATAGCTTGTATATATTTTTCAAATGTGGAGAATTTCTTCCATCCAGGAAACAAAATGTTTAATTGTCTTGGCATATTTATATTTTTTTTTAGTAAAGAATGTTTTTACAATATCTAAACTTTTTACACTATGAGCAAGTTTATAAGTTCAAAGCAGGACAATTACATTCCCAGAATGACAATATAATATGTTTGAGATAAAGCCAACTTGATATTTTATATTAAACAGAGGAAAATTGCATTTCTTTCCCTGAGGGAAAAACCAAATTCCACCCTGAACTTCATAAAATCACTTTTATGAAATGAAATGAGAAATGAGAAAAGCCAAGAATAAGATGAGAAAGGGACCTTTAATTTGGCTTTGTTTGATCACTTAAGTGCTATTTTCATTTCTGCTAGAAATTAAATCCTCTAAAGCCGCAGCGTTATCGCTGGCAGCACCTCCACCTCTACCGCCTTTATCAGTGAGATTTGCAGCACTTGAGCTGTGCTCAATCCGTCTGGATTCTTTATATATTTTAACATATATGAGAAGGAGGATCAGGAGGAAAGGAAGTGAAATATCTTAACAGCTGACTCGCTGTACAATCACTCACCTTGCTTTATGGGTCTATCTTGGATCGTTAAATCTGTCCAGGTGGGAGGTGGAGATTTGGCAGCTCAAATCTGAACTTGCTTCAAATCATGCCAACATGTCGATAACAGATTTACTTTGAAAGATGTACTTGAACTCAGGATTTAGTAGGAGCTTCATAAGATTACTCTGTTTCAATGAAACCCCGTTCTCGTCGTCTGTTTCTTTTCTAAGGAGCTGGAAGAAGGACTTTCCAGTCATCAGCCAGTCCTTACTGGACTGACTCGCACTGGGGAGCAGATAATCGGGCAGCTTTCACCTCCAGATGGGCCTCTACTGGAAGAGAAGCTGGAAACTCTGGTGCAGCGCTGGAGAGCCGTCAAACGTCAGGTCTTAGACAGACAGCGCAGGTATGAAGGGTGCAGTGCAAAATAAACAGGATGTAGTAACATTTACAAATCACTCAACATCGTGATTTTAATGTGCAATGAAATCCAGCTTCATGCTCAAGGTTCATTAAGAGGGAACTGTCTCAGTCTTTTCTAGGTCAACGCCATCACTATTGGCAATCAGTTTATAACTACAAATTAAATGCAATTTTTTTTCTTTTTTTTTTTTGATAAATCATGCAGCCTGGAGGAAGTGTAGATCCTATTACGGGTGAATAGTAATAATGTGTGTGTTTTAGGCTGACTGGAGAGGATCCAGCCCTGTTAGACCTGGTGAGGAGATATGAGCATCTTGCTGTGTGGCTGGAGCAGGCGGAAAACGCTGCCAGCTCCCTGCCAGTCTCAGCCACTGACGAAAACCTGAAAGAGCTCAAGGTACAGTTATTTACATCCAGAAAGCATCCACATGCCTTGGAGACTTTTTAAAATTTTGTGGCTTTGCAACCCAAAACTGTTTTTGAAATAATGACGAGTGGATTTGAAGGGCAATTATGAAGAGAAGCTGTTGGCGAATGTGGCACAGTTTCCAAATATGGATCATGAATCGAAATTCAGTTGAGAACCTGGGACAAAATTTTGAAATGTATGTCCATGATGCATACATTCAAGATTTAATTACTGCGTTTGGAAAGTTGACTAGATTTGAGGTATGTCTACGCATGTGCAAAGGTCGGAAAGAAATGGCCCAAAAACTTTGCAGGTGATTTGAAGCTAAATATAGTTCTGGAAATCATCAAATCAATTTTAAAGCCCAGGATTCCTGACATCCACGTCACAATTTTGTGCTGCTTTGTTTTGGTTTATCACATTAAACCCCAATAAAATGCACTAAAGTTTTTATGTCAAAAGCTGATAAAATGTGGAGAAGTTCAAAGAGTATATATCCGTTGCTAGACGTTAACCATGTTTACTTAGATTATTTTGTACTTTCCATTTTGTATTTTTCCTTTAACTCAAAACAAACCGAGATGGATCCTATTTCTCTTCTTGAGCAAAACAGTTTTGAAAGAACTAGCGACGCCATTGTCATTTATTTTTCTTCTCTCTGGTGAGAAAACATTTTCAAGCCAAACATTTTTCCAGGAGAGACACTGAAAGCTGCAGTGATTGAAACTACCTTGCACATCATTGCATTTGGATTTCCCAGATTTTTTTTTTTTCTTTTTCTTCTTCCTAACCTGTAGTTTTTGTTTTAATGAAGGATGAGTTCCTCTGTTCTTTTTTTTTTTTGCAGGCTCTTGCTGTGGAAATGGATGCTCAGAATGAACGCCTTGGTTGGCTAAACAAACACGCTCCCCAGATCTTGGCCAGCCCCAGTGTGAGCCTTCAAAGCAGAGACCATCATGTTGGAAAACTCAGAGCCATCAATCTCAAATGGAGCAAGGTGAAATTAAAGAAGTTGCAATTTAACTTGGATTCACTCTTCAGACTCTTTTTTTTTTTTTTTTTTTTTTTTTTTTTTTTTTTTTCCTTAAAATTTTTTTTTTTTCAG